CCCCAAAACCCCAAAACCCCAAAACCCCAAAACCCCTACCATTACTTGCTTTATAGGTCTAATTTGGTTATAAATTAACAAAAATGGATTGTTCCCAAAGTACTGATTATTTGAGCTTCACTGAAAACAAACTTGCTCAACCCTTCGTGGCTAATGACATAGTGCTCTTCACTGGAGAAATCTATAAGATTAACAGATACTGGACACAGCAAAAATAGAATTCTCTGAATTACTTCAAAATATGTCATGAATTTGAAGAGAGATAGAAGCGGAATGGATGAGCACAATAAACCTGATCTCACAGGTTTATCAGTGAAACGGATCATTGATGTTGGGAGTCTAAGGGCAGTCACTAAATCACTTAACCCTCGATCAATTGAATTCATCATTCATGTCCCAAGCGAGTATGATTATCGATATTCTGCTAAAAATGATACAATTCGGGATGAAATTATCAACGCCCTGAAACTAGCTTTTCTTACAGAAAAGAAAGATGACCTAGTTATTTATGGAGTCCCTGACCGCTACTTGGGAAAATATACAAAAACCAGTAAGGGGTTTAGGAAGAACAACAAAATTCCAGAAGATAATTTTCTCTTACAAGAAGAAAAGCTTGCTTTAGGATTTGAACGTACTAATTCAGCGAATGCCTCACCTTTAAAGCCCAGATTAAGCCTTGATTCGGATGAATTGGAAATCATTCCTTATGAAGAAAAGGAAGATAAGAACTCTCTGTATAAAAAGGCTCACTCTGATGGAGGAAATGTTGATACTGATGAGGAGACCAACCTCAAAAATATCACAAAGGACCATGATTCTGACCAATCCTGAGGAGATGAAGAACAAAAAATCCTTGATGAAATCTCAGATGATGAAAACGAGATCAGCTTTAACTTAGACGATGAGGATTTTGACATTTTCTGTGAGCGCTCAGAAACTATTTATTCCAAAAAGAATGAATCTAACAAAATAAATGCCAAAGACTTCGCTCTCAAGAAGCTACTCAGGAGCACAGATCACGGGAAGGTCTACCTAGCTGAACACACAAAGAGCAAGAAACTTTATGCACTCAAAAGTATTAAGAGGGACATTTTCGTAAAGAAGTTTAAAACAGTAGACGTTCTAAAAGAGCTGAGCGATCAGCTAGACCATCCCTTTATCTGAAATATAGAGTTTGCTATTCAAAATGAATTCAGAGTCTATCTGATTAGTGATCTCCTCAAAGGAGGTGAACTCTCCAGTCTTATCAAGAGCAAAACTTTAGATGAAGAATGGGTGAAATTCTATGCAGCTCAATTAGCATTAGCCTTAGGATTCATGCATGAACATGAAGTGATATACAGAAATCTTAAGACTTCAAACATCATGATAGGAAATGATGGATACATCAAGATAGGGGATTTTGACTCATCTAAAATAAATAAGAATGGACTAAACGGAAGTATCCTTAACCTTTCTGAATATCAAGCTCCTGAAGTTATCCATGACCAGCAATATGACTATACTGTTGATTGGTGGGCTCTTGGAATTGTCATGTCTCAGATGCTCTTTCCAGAAATAAAATTTAGTAAAGAAGGAATCGAATTTCCAGAATCGACAGTCTCAGAAGAAGGGAAAAATCTGATTTCTAAGCTGCTTGAAAGAGATAAAAAGAAACGTCTTGGAGCGGAGAATGACAAAGATGATGTTCTCTCTCATAATTTTTTCTCAAATATCGATATCAATAGTTTACTTAATAAAACTGCTGAGCCTCCTTACAAACCTTTCATTAATCCTAATGATCCATATTTTGTAACAAACTTTAATTCTGAATTTCTGAAGCAGCCTCCGAGAGAAAGTGTGATTGACAAGAAAGAAAAGGAGAGGATATCTCGAGAGGTTGAACAAATTCTTGACTAACTGACTTCTTTCTCTCAGAATGACATATCAGGATAGTTTCCAGCAATCTTCCATACTTAGTCTAAATTCAATCATAAAGATCCTTTGTGGGGTTTTGGGGTTTTGGGGTTTTGGGGTTTTGGGG